CCAACCCAGTCTCATGGGAAAATGTACCCCCACTACGTTGGTCCACACTGCAAAACGTAGTGGAGGTACATTAATGGCCATTTTTTGTGGCCATGTTTATACCAAAACGTTACAGTTTCACATTATCTTGAAAAATCTTTGCAAGAAACGAACAAGCAAGTGAATATGTACATTCCCTGAGTAAATATTTTGACAACAAACTATACATTTCTCACTAGAAATGTAATCAAAACTCATTAATGCAAAAACAAACTCAAGTTATTAATCTTTCCACAAAAAAAGAGTGAATGTCGGCCATATATATATATATATATTTTTTTTCTTTTCTGGAATCTTGAAAGTCACGTGACTAGGACGTAAAACAACAGAAAGCGTATAGGCAGAAGAAATGTAACAGTACCACAAAAAAATGGCCATTAATGTACCTCCACTACGTTTTGCAGTGTGGACCAACGTAGTGGGGGTACATTTTCCCATGAGACTGGGTTGGAACAAAGCACCACAACTGAAGGATCATAAGAAGAGGCGATAATCTGGGCCCTAATAGAAGTAACTTTCTTGTCAGAAAAGTGTAAGAAGTTTTTACATGCAGCAGGTGAGGACTCCATAAAGTCCCTATATGAATCATTTAAAACAGTTAATCTTTTTAAATACGATAGCATGATTATGACTTTTTGATGCAATCAAACCCGACAAATATTTTCTTTGGCTGCCTTTTGCAATCCTTTGGAAATGGCGCCAACATTCCTTTAATATTTGGAGAGACACACCTGTAATTTGTTCTTTCTCCATTTGTGTTCTTTCTCCATTTGTGTTCTGTCCTGCGGCAGTCTCTCCTGGCAACCCGAGTGACCTCATTTAACCAGGGTTCACGCTTGGATTTTGGAAGTCTAATTTTTAGTGTTGCCACCAAATCCAAGGCTGCTTTACTGGTAGAATAAAACCAGTTGCTGAGTTCCTAAGTGTTATTTCCCACATCCTGTGGAATGATACAGTTCTGATTAAAAACAGAAGAAAACTGACCAGCAGTAGTAGGGTTAAAAACACAACAGAGCCGAGCTGAGGCTCGAGTTTTAGCTTTTCCACGGGAGAGCATTATCTCAAATAAAACAGGCATATGGTCAGAAAAGAATGAGTCACCAATTTCTAAATTAAAGACCGGTAGACCATAAGATAAAACCAAATCAAGAGTGTGACCATGCTCATGAGTAGCACCAGTCACAGACTGCACAAAATTAAAAGAATCAATAACAGTAAGAAATGACTGAGCCATAGGTGAAGAATATAGAATATAAAAATCACGAACAATGACAACTTGGTCATACTTTGGCATGATATCGGCCAAGAAATCAGAAAAATCGTTTATAAAGTTTTTGTCATACTTTGGTGGCCGATAGACTGCAGCACACTGCAGTTCAAATAGGCTCAGGTCAAAGCTACTATACAAGGGTACAGGCAACTGCTTACAAGTAAAAAAACTTTTAAAAACAGTCACTATTCCTCCACCAGAGCCCGACATTCTGGGAGAATTAAAATAGCCGCAGTTCCACGGAACAAGTTCATTAAAAATGCTGGAGTCACCCAAGCCACGTGTCCATGATTCTGTTAACGATAAAAAATCTAATCCTTGAGAGGAAAAGAAATCCCTCATTACAAAAGATTTATTTGCCAGCGACCTAGCATTTACCAAACCGATCCTGACGGAAATCGGCTGATTCACGTCATCAGCTGCCATCCGGGACTCCCGGCAGAGATGGTGCAAGTTGCTAGTATTCACCCTGCGTCTACAGGGCCAAGAAGCGCAGGGACAACGGGACTGGAACGCTCCATCCCGGCCTCCACCGTCAGGATTCAGACAGGAATCCACAGGATCCAACATGCGGAATGGGCAGGAAAGGCGAGGCGCCAGACCATACATTGTGGAGGCAGAGAAACTGCACCACAGAGCAGCCTTCAATCGCACTAGCCGACCGCTATGCCTTCCATGGAGGCACACTCGCTTCCAACGGAAAAGCAAAACCCAGAAACGACACAGGTGAGCTGGAATGCCCAACAGCAGGGTTAAAGTTTTCTCTGTATTATAGGTCCTCAGTAACATGTTTCTAGCCGAGGCACCAATGTCCAGCAATGTTTGGCGATCATACACAATCAGAGAGTTTAAACTTGTAATAAAATTAAAAGCAGACAGGAGATGATTGTGGTTTTGAGGACCCAAATGCAGAGGCAGAGGTGAATACTTGTAGTTTAATGAAAATGGTTAACAAAGGCAGTCCAAAAATCTAACTGAAAACGTAACAGACCAGAACCATGGAGACATCAAGGGAAAACACGTAGAAGGAGCCAGGGAGAGACGAGGGGAGATGACTACAGCGAAGACAGGACCAGCAACAACAAGGAATCAACAAAGAGTGAGAGCAGAGGGAGAGCATAAATAGCTGACAGAGACAAACAGAGCGCTAACAAGCTGACAAGGAGCAGGTGTGAGGAGACAACGAGGGAGCCAAGGGGAAAGGAACACACACACACACAGACACACACACACACACACACACACACACACACACACACACACACACACACAAGAGGGCAATAGAGGACAACATGAGAACTAACAAATTGAGAAATTACAACAAAATAGGAATTAAACCAATAAAAACTAGAAAACAAGGAGCAAAGTAAAGCATAACATAACCAAAATCATGACAGTACCCCCATTTAAGGGCGGATCCCAGACGCCCTAAAATGTCCAGAAACAAAAAACAACCCACGTAGGGTGGGCGGAGGGGGAACCAGGAAGGAGGGCAAGAAACACAAAACCAAAGTCAGAGTCTAAAAAACAAAACAACCCACCCAGGGTGGGCGGAGGAGAATTAAAGTCTCAGGAGGGGAGGCAGAGTCTGACGACGGAGGGTCTCTGGAGGAGGCCGACGGTGACGCCGTCTCTGACGACGGAGGGTCTCTGGAGGAGGCCGACGGCGACGTCGTCTCTGACGACGGAGGGTCTCAGGAGGAGGCCGACTGCGACGCCATCTCTGACGGCGGAAGGTCTCTGGAGGAGGCCAACGGCAGCTGAAGGAACCTCGGAGGGGGGCGCCGTCTCAGACGCAGCTGCAGGAACCTCGGAGGGGGCGTTGTCTCAGATGCAGCTGCAGGAACCTCGGAGGGTGCCGCCCACTGCGGCTCAGGAGCAGACTCGGAGGGGGCCGCCCACTGCGGCTCAAGAACAGACTCGGAGGGGGCCGCCCACTGCAGCTCAGGAACAGACTCAAAGGGGCCGCCCACTGCGGCACAGGAACCACCATGGAGGGGGCCGCCTACTGCGGCACAGGAACCAACATGGAGGGGGCCGCCCACTGCGGCTGAGGTACAGCCTCCGAGGGGGCCGCCAACTGCAGCTCAGGTACAGCCTCCGAGGGGGCTGCCGACTGCGGCTCAGGTACAGCCTCCGAGGGGGCTGCCGACTGCGGCTCAGGTACAGCCTCCGAGGGGGCTTGGACTGCCCGCAGAGGGCTCTTGGAGGCTTGGAGCGCCCACAGAGGGCTCTAGGAGGCTGACTCCCGATGGGCTTTAACTGTGAGGCCTCTTCATGGGAGTGCTCAGGGGTCACTGGACGGCTAAGAGCGGGCTCACGGGTCACTGGACGGCTCAGAGCGGGCTCAGGGGTCACTGGACGGCTCAGAGCGGGCCCAGGGGTCACTGGACAGCTCAGAGCGGGCTCAGGGGTCACTAGACGGCTCGCAGCGGGCTCAGGGGTCTTGGGGGGCTTGGCTTACTGACCCGCTAATGGGCTCAGGCACTGGGGAAACTGCCCCGCTAATGGGCTCAGGCACTGAGGAAACTGCCCGCTAATGGGTTCTGGAGCTAGGGAAACTGGACCGCTAATGGGCTCTGGAGCTAGGGAAACTGAACCGCTAATGGGCTCTGGAGCTAGGGAAACCTGACTGCTAATGGGCTCTGGAGCTAGGGAAACCTCACCAATAATGAGCTCTGAACCGGGATCTGGCTGGCGGGGAGCTGATGGAGGTGGAAGGAAAGGGAGCAGATTCTCCCTATCCCCATAGAAGAAGTCCCAGAGATCTGACTCTTGAATATGGGGAACCCTGACTGTGGGGGGAGTGAGTTTTGGAACTGGTTTGAGTCATTTTACGGATGGAGCTAGCTGTTGGTCAAGGAGATGTCGACCGGGACTGCCGGAAAAACTGACCTGGTTAAAACGGGGACTGAGGCTAGCAGCTGGCTGACCCAACGGAGGAAAGGAGGTGGCGTCAGGCTGACCCGCCGGAGGAGAGGAGGCGGCGTCAGGCTGACCCACCGGAGAGGAGGTGGGGAGGAGAGGAGGCGGCGTCAGGCTGACCCGCTGGAGAGGAGGTGGCAGCGCCAGGCTGACCCGCCAGAGAGGTGGTGACTTTCTTTCCCCGGCGGCGGTTCCTACGCCTGGAGGGAGCAGAAGGGAGCAAGGGGGGAACAACTGGCTGAAGAAGGTGTAGCAGCAGGAGCAGGTTCCAAGGTTGAGGGAAGCTCACGTACATCTCGGAGTGGAGGTCTGGGTGGGGAAGGTTAATTGAACAGTTTTGCATTGGTGTCCAGTATGTTCCATTTTATTTGGTCTATGTGTCCTCTTTTTTGGAAGAAGGTCCGAAGTTCTGGATAGTTATTGAGTTGAATGAGTAGATTATCTGCTGCTCCCACCCGCTCCCAGGGTGGAGAGATTGTGGTTAGACTCTCTATGGCTTGTCTGAGGAGTATGAGTATTTCACTTGATTTAATTTGTGGGGGCTCTGCTGGGTCCATGTTCTTGGTTGGTTCCTTCTGTCAGGGTTGGTTGTAGTTTGGAGGACCCAAATGCAGAGGCAGAGGTGAATACTTGTAGTTTAATGAAAATGGTTAACAAAGGCAGTCCAAAAATCCAACTAAAAACGTAACAGACCAGAACCATGGAGACATCAAGGGAAAACACGTAGAAGGAGCCAGGGAGAGACGAGGGGAGACGATTACAGCGAAGACAGGACCAGCAACAACAAGGAACCGACAAAGAGTGAGAGCAGAGGGAGAGCATAAATAGCTGACAGAAACAAAGGGAGCGCTAACGAGCTGACAAGGAGCAGGTGTGAGGAGACAACGAGGGAGCCAAGGGGAAAGGAACACACACACACACACACACAAGAGGGCAATAGAGGACAACATGAGAACTAACAAATCTAGAAATTACAACAAAATAGGAATTAAACCAATGAAAACTAGAAAACAAGGAGCAAAGTAAAGCATAACATAACCAAAACCATGACAGACAGAGACAAAACAGGAGGAGAGTCAGACGGCAAGCCTCAAACACTGGCGCCATCTTGACTCTAATCAAGAGTAATGGAGTTGAGTAATGTGACCACTTCGGGAATTGGTTCAGAAAGTGCAAGAACTTTGGCAACCTCATTTCTCAGTCAAAATTTGGAAGTTTCTTGGAGAGTTGCTGTCAGTTGTATAGTTTAGATATATTCTAAGAATACATTGGGTTGAAAAACAACCAATCTACTTGATTAAAACTATTTTGGTTAGATTAAACAATGTAATGATCAAAATCCGAGAAAGCTGATGGACACAGTTGTAACTTTAGCGTTGAATGCTATTGCTGTCTTTTGAACATTATTAATGTTGGTGGCATCAGCTGTATGACATTGATTTTCACTCCTAAGGTTGACATTTTGAGACCCACCTTAGACTTTCGTAAGTTGCGATTATACTTAATTGGTTATTATACTCTCTTGGCTAATATGACTAATTTGTATTGTTTTGCCCTAGTAAAAATATAGATTGGGCAAAAACACCGCCAAATTAGATTGGCTGGTTATCCAAAGGAGGGGTTGAACACATAACTTCCAACACAATTAAAACCAAAAACCATGGAAAAACTATTATGTTAAAAATAAATAAAACATTTCATTTTTCTCATCATTGCCCAATTTGCACAATCACTATCACTGTCTGCTTGAGCTTATTTCAATAAAATGGCAGAAAAACTGTGTAACTAAAATGATTGACCATCATTAACAATTTCAAAGGAACCTAAATGTTTAAAAAAAGAAAGAAAAACAATTGCAAAAAATTACAGATTTTATTACTAACTGTAGTTGTGCACTCCACCAGTAGGTGGTGACATGTTCACATGAAGCCTCATGAACTGTGGGGATCGTTGAAGCAATTTGGCCAAAAGGTTCAATGCCTCATGAGGCTTCATCTCACCATCACTAGGGAACATTTACATGAGGAGCCAGGAAAAGACGAGGAACCAGCACTGAAGAACTGCACGGGAAGAGTATACATGGGAGACAGAACAAAGGCTGGATTAATGAGCTGACAAGGAACAGGTGTGGATGGAAGCATATAGAGGGAAGCCAAGGGGAAAGGGAACACACAAAAGGGGGAGAGAGAAAGTAATTTAAGAACAAAACACTCTTAGAAAACAACTACAAAGAAACTAAAAATAAACTTAAAAGAGGGCAGCACCCTGTCAGAACCAACCTTCAAAGCGGAGTGGTGGCCTAGTGGTTAGAGCAGTGTGCTTGATCTCTGAGAAGTTTGCAAGCACCCGGTTTAATCCCTACTTCCTCAACTCTGAGTTCCTGAGCAAAACCCTTAACCCCTGATTGCTCCCGGGTGCCAAACGATGGCAGCCCACTACTCCTCGAGGGGATGGGTTAAATGCAGAGAACGAATTTCCCCATTGTGGGACAATAAAGGGATTTACATTTATTATGCAGCAAACAGGGAACTGAGGAGAAATTAAAATATTTTGTTAAAGTTTAACATAAAAAGATTTATAAGAACTTTGCAATCTGACATGTTCGGACTGAGTTTTTCTAATGAAATGTAATTAGCACTATTGATTCTATTTTTCATAATAATACTATTATTTCCTGACACTATATCATACATTTGTGCCTTAAAGCCAATCCTGTGTTACTAAGAGTCACAAAGAGGGCAGTAGAGTAATTTCTCTTCCTGCTTGCAAACAGTTAATTTAGTTTAAACAGCAGCTTTTTTACTCACAGAGCAGATACTGCAGAGATGCTTCATGGTGTCACTTCATGATCTGATCACTGTTCATTTCCTGTTGGGGCCTCAGAATAAAGCCCGCCTTCTTCCTGTAAATAGAAATCTATGGTTAGTTCCTTTTTCTGTCTCACACATGTTTTCTGTTTTTAAAGCTAAAAAACAAATTAGTCTCACAAACCTGCTTAAATAGAAGCTCCATTTAGATATTTACCTGCTTAGATTGGTTGATTTTACACAATAGATCCACACTGATGACAGATCCCCTTGATTGAATCATATTAGTTTACTGATGACACTAAAATGACTGTTTCTGACAGCTTCAGATCTGCAGGACACCTTCCAGATGTTGGCAGTAACAGCTGGTAGAACAGTAAATGATGGATTATAGATCAGCAGCTTCTAGAATTGCTCCACTCACAGTGGCAGACTATAGAGCAGCTCTTCTGCTTTCTTCTTCTTTATAAAAACTCATGTGTGCGCATGCACGAAAGCACCGCTTCTGTTTGCTTTTTAACTTTCTTTTATCTTTTTTGATTGTTCTTGTTTATTCACGGCAACTCTGAAGTATTGTGTAGCATATCTGTAAAAAACAACAGTGTATTATATTTTAAATTAATACAAATGGATCATAACCAATAAGGTCAATAAGCTAGTTCTCAGAAGGTAGATACGACTCATGAAACAGCAGACAGAGACTGCAAGTTTGCAGTTGCGAGTGCCTTGTATTTATAGTGAGGAAAATTTTATACATATTTACAACATCAGTGAAACATCCAAATGGCCATATAAAATGCGCAAAAGAGAAAAAAAAAAAAAAACAATGAAGAGGGAAAAAAAAGAAAAATTAATCAATTCCACAATTAATTCCACCCGGGTTACAATTGTCCTCTATAGCGAGGTCGTTTTCAGAGAGTTTTTGTGTTTTTTTCTTGTTGTTTTTATCATGCCGCTTTCACTAGAACACGCTGCCTTTGTTTACACCAGAGAACAGCTGACCGCTCTAATGCTGGCCGGCGTGGTAGCCAG